GGAGAAAACTGATTTCAGCCACTTGCATCTGTGATTTCGTTCTTTCGGTCACTACCCAAAGCTCATGACCATAGGTGAGGGTAGGAACGTAGATCGACCGGTAAATCGAGAGCTTCACTAACTCAATTCAAAGATACTTTATTAATCTCAGAGGGAAATTAGAGTTTCAGTACACATAATTCTGAGATCAGACATACATACATAGGCATAGACACATGACAAGAATTGGTGACTGGTCATTCGCAACCCGAGTCGCGCTACCTTAATAGAGATCAGAGGGTTTATATATGAGGATTGGGTCAAGTGGAGGAAAAATAGGCACTTCAGAGTTATCCTCCACAGGGAGGGCAGCTTTGCTATGCAAAAAACACCTCAGACAGAAATGCAACAGACTTCAGACATTACACAACATAAGTGTCCACTAGGTGGGGAGGTAGGGTTGGGGACTGTCCTCACATCAGTGCTTGCAGCCGCAAGAGCAGCGCTCGTCACCTCCGTTTGGACAGGGGTGGGAGGTAGTTGGGTTTTAGAGAGCACAATGACTCCTGGAAACGATTCAACGGCCTTCACCCGTCGCAGTCCCTCCCAGGGTGGGACAGGGAGACAGAGTTACCATGGCGACGGCAGCATTCCACATTTCTTCTGAGGGGGAGTAATCACTTCAGCCTCACAGGCTCAAGGGCACCCAATTCAGATAAGAACTTGCTTTGGGGCCAGACAGAGATAATTTCCTCTCTCTCTTAAAGAGCAAGTCATCCCTACAAGAAACTTACTTCACTCCCACTTCATGTTTGAAAAATGCAACAAATGCTGTTGCTTGGCAGACTGAGAGGGCAGAGCCGCTAACAAATACACACACACACAGGCTCACAATGGCATTATGACATCATAATGTACCAGATGACATCATAGCATACCTCTTAGCCAATAGCGGTGGCAGATTTAAATTCAAATACAGTGCAGAATTTTTCCCTGATGACAGCGCAACACCGACAGTTTTAGGCAGAATATTTGAATTTTAACCAAGATGCACTGAACTGCCAAATTATTGACTACACGTGTCTGTAGCATGATTAGACACTCCTTTATATAGTTTATCAGCAAAAAAAATGTGATTTGGGGGTGACTTGCTGTTGGTCCTCAACCCCTCTAAATCCAATAATGGCGTAATTAATCTATTCCAATCCGTGCTGATCCGTCCACTTTCTCCTTGATCGAATCCACCTTCTGTGCCAGTCTGAATCTCTGTCAAAGTTCCAAGCTTACGACTCATCTCGACAATTATATGAGCTCTGTCTTCACCATGACAGACCGGTACAACACCCGCATCACTGCAGACGCAGCACCAATCTGCCTATTGATCTCACGCTCCATTTTTCCCTCATTCATGAACAAGACCCAGAGATACTTAAACTCCTCCACTTGGGGCAGGACCTCATCCCTGACCCGAAGAAGGCATTCTGCCCTTTTCTGACTCAAGACCATGGTTTCAGAAAAGAATATATCGTGATAAATATCATTACTGCACATGCTTCAGAATTTATTGTGATTAAGGCTTTCAGGGGCTCGACACACGGGAGGCGACTAATGACCGCGGTCAGCGAAATTTGTCACCGTCGCTTTTATTACCTGACACACGGGAGGCGATCTGCGGCAGCGGCAAAGCCGTCTACACGTTCTGTTCCATGGCGAAATCGAAACTTCAGTTGTTTTGTTTGGCTGTGTCAGGTTGGAGGGAATTAAGGTTATTTAAGCGGTTCAGAGTTAATAAAGTGGTAGATATGATGTTTCACAAGGTGCTGCTAGAGTTATGTGAAATCTTCTGATTTTACTATATAAAACATAATAATAATCAACTTCTCCTCCATGTTTGCTCGGAGATGTACAGAGCATCCTGTCTGCTCAGTGGTCAGTGAATGAAACCTCTGTTGATTGGTCCTCGTCTGAGCGACAGCGATGAAAAGTTGAAAATGTTTCAACTTTCTGGGATCGCATCGCTGGGTCGCCTGTGCACGACACGTGCACGAGCGCAAAATTTCACACGCACGTTTTTCGCTTTTCACTTGGTAGGAGGGAGACCCGCGATTATCGCTTTGTCGCGCATGTCTCATTGAAATTGAATGGAGGAGAGGCGATGTCGCCTCCCGTGTGTGGAGCCCATTAGGCTGTATTGTCCATTCCTATTGCCCACTTGTTTCCTAAAGTTAAACTCAATGTATTTTGGTTCTGAATGTGTTGATGTTATCTAAAATGTGTCTTGCATTTCTCAGCGTCAGGACCAGCTGTGGTTAGAAGATCTGAACCTTCTTGATCTCTGATGTCTTTGTTCGGCCTGAAACCGCTAAAACCTCTTGGTTTCTTCTGGCCCAGCCCCCGCTTGTGCAACCCGTTTGATTTAATTCAACGTTTTGTTTTTAAACATTGTGTGATCTGGACCCCCCTACGGCTCCTGTCTGAGAGCTTGACTTCGTGTTTGTGACAGTGTTCAACGCCTTCGACTGAGGACGCCCCTCAGCTCCGGCATTTGAGTCATCAGAGATTTAATCTGACACTTGGTGCTTATCGGCCCCTGAGATGCTTTCGCTGACCCTGAGCCGTGTTCCATTCCTGGAGCACCGGGCTGAGTTGGACATCCATACTGCACCTGGAGTTGTCTTGATTGGTTTTCCCTGCACTCTTTTTAGGCAAAGTAATAATAAAAATCTAGATAACAAACAAAATAATGAAAATACAGACAAATTAATATGTTGGTAAAAAGCAGATATACGGCGGGTGTGGTTTTCCTGTATAAATCCTTGGTTGTTATGATAAAGTTCAAACAGGAGACACACGGGGATGTCTGAGGAGTGAAACCACGTTTATGGGATTTACAGAAATAAGCAATAGTTGTTTAAACAACATTAGCACTGTTGTCATTTTATTGATTCCAAAACCTCTAGAACTAATTGTTGGAACTCAACATTAGTTTGGTAAGCTCAGTGACCTTTGACCTCCACACACAGGTGAATCCAGTTATGAGAAAGAGTGTTTAAGGGGCCAGTTGTAAGTTTCCCTCCTCTTTGAATGTTCTCTGAAGAGCAGCAACATGGGGTCTAAAACGTTTCACATGAGCTGAAAACAAAAGCTGTTCTCCATCATGGTTTAGAGGAAGGATCCAGAAAGCCATCTCAGAGATTTCAGCTGTCTGGTTCCACAGTTAGGAACATAGTGAGGAAATGGGGGACCACAGGCACAGTTCAAGCTAAGGCTCCAAGTGGCAGACCAAGGAAGATCTCTGATAAACAGAAGTGAAGAATGGTGAGAGTCACCCCACAGGTCAGCACCAACGATCTACAACATAACTCATATTATTATTATTATTATTATTATATTTAACTCAAGTTTTATCATAACAACCAACCATTTATAAAGGAAAATCATGAAGATTAACCAGGCTGCCCAAACTTTCACATCCCGCTGTAGATAGAAGTCCATGTGTGTGTGTGTGTGTGTGTGTGTGTGTGTGTGTGTGTGTGTGTGTGTGTGTGTGTGTGTGTGTGTGTGTGTGTGTGTGTGTGTGTGTGTGTGTGTGTGTGTGTGTGTGTGCGTGTGCGCGCGCAGAGAACAGCAGGAGATAGGTAATCTGTGTGGGTTTATTTTACTGGTCAGGCCAGATAAGTCTTCCAGAAGGTGTCTACAGAGCTCTGAGGTTGTTTCTGGACCAGAACCTGTGGATAAAATAATTCTGTTTAATCTAACAGATAAAATCAGGCCGGACTTTCAGATCCAGCTGCTGTCACTAAACCCGTCCTCGTCCTGCTGTCAGATCTCATTCAAACACTGGATTCTGCTGAAGTGCCTTTCAGCAAAACTCCCAACCAGTACTAGTTCCACAGGTTGTCCTCTGGAAACCATTCAGCAGGGACAAAAATGAAGATTTCATCTGAACAGACAGAGCTAAGAGTCTGGAAGAGACATCAGGGACAGACCCTCTTTAGTTTGAGTCACAGCTCTGTTCTCGGAGTCTTTCTTTAGTTCAGTTTCTTAATCGAACAGCTAAAGTAAATCACTTGTTTTTAAGGTTCCAAAGAAGAAAAGGGCACGTCCTTATTTTCTCCAGCAATCAGTCACATGTTTTATTTGTTTCAGACAATAAATCACAGAATTTACAAATTAAACAGGAGGGGAAAAGTCCACTTTTTGATTAGAAATGATAAAAAAATACATCAAATATTTGTTCCAAAAACAAATCAAAACAATAACAAAAGCTTTATCATCTGCATGTAATAAATCTGTTTGCATCCATCCACTGCCTGTACCCGCTCATCCTCGCAGGGCCGCGGGGGGCTGGTGGCTATCTCCAGCAGCCTCCGGGCTAACAGGCGGGGTACACCCTGGACAAGTTACCAGTCCATCGCAGGGCTACAGGGAACATGCAGACTCCATGCAGAAAGACCCCTGGCTTGGATTCAAACCCAGGACCTTCTTGCTGCAAGGCAACAGCGCTAACCAACACTGCTACTCTGTGCAGCCCCTAAATCAGAGTTTTGATGACTTTAACATGACTTTAATTCTGATTTCCAGATTGTTTTTATTGGACTGTTACTGGTTTAATTGATTTGTCCCGGTTTACAAACACAGGAAGTGATTTATTGCTGAGCGGTGAACTGTTTGGATTAACGGGCCGAACCTGGAAGATGGTGTTCAATAATTCACCAATTCAGTCCTGAAGTGCTTTTATTCATCCCTAAATAATCCACTAAAGTTGTAGCTCCTGAGAGGACCAATGCTCGTTTTAAAGCCACTTCTGATATTTTAGTTTTAGTGTTTAAACTGTTGTCCACCATTAGTGTTTCATTATTGTTTTACTGTTAAAGGCTTCTGATAAACATTTATTATCCTTTTTCTACTTGTTTTAAAGCTGGAGGTGTGTGTGCGTGTGCGTGTGTGTGTGTGTGTGTGTGTGTGTGTGTGTGTGTGTGTGTGTGTGTGTGTGTGTGTGTGTGTGTGTGTGTGTGTAGTTTGTGTGGCATCGTTCCAGGCCTCAGCAGCATCCTGCTGCCCCGGATGAACCCGTTCGTCCTGATTAACCTAGCAGGAGCCCTGTCACTCAGCATCACCTACATGCTGATAGAAATCAAGTAAGGATTAGGGCGCAGAGATCCTGCTCCCATGCCGGAGATGCTGATTTGTTGTAATGATGCGGTCTAAACGTCTTAGTTACATCTGTATTTACCTGTAAAGGTGCCCTCTGACATTTAAACCAGCGATGCACCGATAAAGAGCATTCTAGCAGATAGATACATTGTGTGTGTGTGTGTGTGTGTGTGTGTGTGTGTGTGTGTGTGTGTGTGTGTGTGTGTGTGTGTGTGTGTGTGTGTGTGTGTGTGTGTGTGCGCCTGCCACCACACCATTGAAGACAAATGGTAGCCAGACAGGAACAAATATCAGTGGTTATTATCGGCCCAGTTTGACTCACCTAACTGATACATGTTGATGCAAATTAATGACACACTCCCTGTTGTCTCTGCTTTACGTGTGTGTGTGTGTGTGTGCGTGCGTGCAGTAACTACAACGCAGTGGACACGGCTTCGGCTGTTGCCATTGCCCTCATGACGTTCGGCACCATGTACCCGATGAGTGTGTACAGCGGTAAAGTTCTGCTGCAGGTGAGCTGAGTGCTGACCTTTGACCCTCATGTTGACATGGTGTGAAGATTGACGTGTCTTTGTGTTTGTCGTGCACAGACCACGCCCTCTCACGTGATTGGACAGCTGGACAAACTCCTCCGAGAGGTGAGGACAAACAGGTGATGTTTGAAGAAGGGGTCAGACCGAGACATTCTGCCTTTGTGTCCTATCAGGTGTCCACCCTGGACGGAGTTCTGGAGGTTCGCAATGAGCACTTCTGGACTGTTGGATTTGGATCTCTGGTACGTTGTCTTCCTGTTCGTTATTGATTGTGTCTTATGTAGGGTTACAGGGATTAACCTGTTTGACTACTAACCCCAGTGAACACCCCCCAGTACAGACGTCTTTTCCATCTAATATATGATAAAATGACCCGCACTTGTATAGCGCCTCTCAGAGTAAGGACTCTAAAGCGCTTTACACTACAGTGTATCATTCATCCATTCACACACCGATGGTGATGAGCTACGATGTAGCCACAGCTGCCCTGGGACACACTGACAGAGGCAGCATCTAATATACGTAAAATATCTAATATATACCTAATACATTCCCACACTAGTCTCATGTAAGAAAAATAAACCCTGTCAGAATATTAATAACCTCACGTCCTTCTGGAGACAGTCACAGTGCAAATGTGATTTTCTTCTTCCTCTGTCCTTCTTCACATTCCCACCTCTTCATCCTTTATCAGACCAGAGCATCCATCTCCAGGGATCAGACCTCCTATGTGTCAGAGGTCCAGAGACCCTCATGTCTCTGGTCTATAGGGCCTTACATGGACAAGCACCATCTTACATTGGTGATCTTCTTAGTCCCTACACCCCCAGCAGGTCCCTGAGGTCCAGTGACCAAATCCTACTAGTTGTGCAGCGCACCAGACTAAAGACCAAAGGTGACAGATCATTTGCTGCTGTGGCCCCCAGACTCTGGAACTCTCTCCCCCTGAGCCTGAGATCAGTGGACTCAGTGGTCTTCTTTAAAAAGCAGCTGAAGACTCACTTGTTCAAGCCTTGGTGTGATTTCCTCTTCATCCTCTTCTTCCTCACTAGCTTCTCTTTATGCTGTCAGTTCTGCCTTTTTCTGAAACCCTTATGACTGTTTTCATATTCATTTTTCAATTTTTAGATTAGGGATGACCGATACCGGGCCGATACCGATAAATTACCAGTATTGGTATCAGTAAAAGTTAACTGACACCAGGAACGATACCAGTGCAGCTGCCTGGGAGTGGCGCCACTGTAACTTGTCATTTCTGTTGACCTAATGTTTTAGTTTTGTTATCATTTCTATTAACCCGTATATGACCTTAGTGCATTTTCTGTGCTCAAATGAGCAAAACGTTAGAAAATGAAGGGTGCATCTATTTTATTTTTTATCTACCTCACAGTCTTTTCCTGTTGAAAGCAGAGAAGAAAATAAAACCTGAATTCCAACTCATTGCCTTTTTTTTGTGTGTGTGGTAGAAGTAATCAGTATCGGCGAGTACTCGGATCCAAGTATCAGTTTGAAAAAAAAGTGGTATCGTTGCATCAATAGTTTACATTTTTCAATTTCCCCTTTTTATGACGTTGTTAAAATCATTTTATATATTTATTTTATCTGTTTTTGTTCTTGTGAAGCACCTCATGGTTTTTATCTTAAGAGATGCTAAATAAAAATTGTTTCTTCTTCTGCAGAAACGGGTTCAATTTCATAGATACAGAAGTTTCTTCTAGTAAACGGTGATAATCGGTGTGACGTTGTATTTGTTTCTGCTCAGTTAAGACTAGAAACCTGCTTTATTGGCCCTCAGTGGGGATGTGTAGGGCTGACAGCAGCGGCCTGTGTAGTAAACTGTAGCCGATTATTATATTTACAGGAAGTGAGAACATGAGGTATAAAATAAAAGAAGATTTATGACCAAGTGACTCATTTCAGAGCATTTAGTTTTATACACACCAACTTGACAAATCTTAGTTGGATACGCATCCAGTCATGATGAAGACCTCCGATCACACAGGAGGAGGAAAGCTTTGTTTTAGCTCCACATGAATCTGCTGGGAGAAGCTGCAGTTCCTCCTGCAGCCTGCGGGGGAGCAGCGCTCTTTGTTTACTTTTGTTTACCCTGCTGCCGTTTTTGTGGTTTGTGTGTGTTATGGATGCCCCGGCCTGTCGCCGTGTGTGATGCTGCTGCACTTACCCAGGCGTTGGTTGTTGGCCCACTGCGAGCCGAGCAGCTGTCCAAACCGATTTGACCCTCTGACTGCACTCGGCGCTCCGGGCTTGCTCTGTGCTTCTGTGTGAGGTTCTGCCTCTTCCTCGTCTCCATGGTCCCACCAGGACAGGAAAACCGGGAGCACAGACGTCCCTGGGGTTGTTTAAGGTCAGGTTTAGAAGATAAAGGTTGATTATAATCTGCTCTTCTGGTAGGAAATGGAAACATTTACCAGTGTTGAGCTTTTGACCCACGTTGGTAATCAGATTACAGTTGTTCTTTCTCAGCTTTTATCTGAACGGCTACATTAAGGATTCCTGTTGAGTTAAAGCAGAACTTGGTCGGTCTGTGGGATTAATATCCTGGCTTTAATCAGAAGTGTGTTACGGGCTTGAGAGCATTAATTCATGCTCCTCACTTCTGTTCAGGTGTCTTTTCCTTTTGCTGTGTGTGTGTGTGTGTGTGTGCGTGTGTGCGTGCGTGCGTGTGTGCGTGCGTGCGTGCGTGCGTGCGCGCGCGTGCGTGTGTGTGTGTGTGTAATCAATTATTGTGTTGTAAAGGGCCTTGGGGGGTTGTAGAAAGCCATTTTTGGCCTTGTTGTCTCTAAAGGTTCCACGTGTGGCTCTGTTTCAGGCTGGTTCTGCCCACGTTCGGATCCGCCGTGACGCCAACGAGCAGCTGGTTCTGGCTCACGTCACCAACCGGCTGCTGCCACTCGTCTCCACGCTGACGGTTCAGATCTTCAAAGACGACTGGACCAGACCTCTTCTCACCAGCGCCCTGACCTCCCCATCTGCTGCACCTCCTCTGGTTCCTCCTGAAGGCTTCACCTCCTTCTCCTCCTCCTCATTCCCTCCAGTTCTGTTCCCCTCAGGAAAAGGAGAGTTTGACCCACTCACCTCCACCCCCTCCAAACCCAGCAGCCCTCCTCCTGAGTTCTCCTTCGACACTCCAGGGAGGAACATTCAGCCGGTGGTGCTGCCCGCTCCGGGTCCCCCTGCCCACCGGCCCTATGGAGGACTGGGTCTGTCCTACGGAGCGGCGCCGTACGCAGGGATGCTGGGGCAGGGTCTGGTGCAGCCTGGGACAGGGATGGGACTGGGTGTCCAGGGTCTGGGAGCTGGGTATGGACTGGGACTTCCTTCCTCTCAGAGCTACAAAACTGCATTTGGAGGCTCAGCGGCCCCGCTCCGGTTTGGAACTGGCAACCCTACAGCACCACAGAACAGGCAGTATTGACCCTAGTGGAGCCAGCCTGCTCCTGGGTCGGGCAGCAGAACTAATACTGGGAGCAACGCCCTCCCTGCAGGAAGACTCGCTTCAGGCAGCAAAATGTATTTTTACCGTAGGAAAGCATCAGGAGCCGAGCGGACTCTAACTCTAAACATTTATTCACAATTAGTCGGATTAGAAGAAGAATTTGTGTAAAACTTTATTTAAACATTTCCCTCATTAATCACAAATGAGACGAGCTTCTTAAGGAGAATTCTGTGCGGCTCGTTCATTTTGTACAGGTGGTTTTAAACAGCACAGTAAATTCATAGGAAAAAATTCAAAGTAAAACAAGTCTGTTGTTGAAAGTGTAAGGTGGGCCATCTTATTCCAGCCTCAGCTCCTGGGTTACGATAAAACTGCTGCTGTTGTTTTCAACCCAAAACACAAACCAGTGGTTTGGATGTGATTTATTATCATTTGTTTCACTCTGATGTTAGTTTTCTGTTGAAAGCCTGTCAAACTCGACTCCTTTATCGGGGGAACCACACCAACGATGGGCATCTTGTGGGCTGAGATGAGGGTTCATGGGATTAAAGCTATGCTGGAATTAAAAGAAGATTTGACTGTAGTCACACGGAGCTGTTTCTTTTTGTAGAATCGTCTGAATTCAGCCACATCGGACTGGTTTTCCATCCGCGAGTTCTGTGTGACTAAATTCAGCATCCTTGTGAGGACGCGTCCTGCACAGGCAGCTATGGCCAGAGGTTTGTGGCTGTGAATTTGGACAGTCTACTTTTTCCCGCCCTATCCTCAGCATGTAATCTGTCACCTAGCAACCGTGACAGCGTTAAACAGAACTTAGCAGTAATACATACAAGCAGCAAAAAATATAATAAAAAAACATCTAAGCAAAGGAATAAAGCCTAGGAACAGGACCAGGTTTTAACATACCTACGTTTTAACTCGACACTCTGTGTCCTGGGATAACCTTCCTGCCTTTGCCAGTGAGGACACACCCGACCCGTCTTTAATCTTTTGGGAAGCTAAGACATTTTGAACATCCTTCCAATGTGCACAACCTTAACGCTTTGCTGAGACGTAATTGGCCCTAACACGTATCGTTGGAAGGATGCAGCCCCTGGATTTGGACACAGCCCAGGGTTGCATTAGTTACAGAAGGTCTTGGAGCAGCAGCAGAGCAGCCCCAGTCCATCACACTACCACCACCATGTCTGACTGTTGCAATGGTGGTGTTTTGGTGTGAGTTTGGACTCCAGGTGGCTCTGCTTCTTTCTCATGAATCAACAAGATGTTTACCCAGAAGTCTTTAGGATGACCAGGAGGAGTTTGGTGGAATGTGAGATGTCGGCAGCACACGATCATCCTGTAGCGTACCTATTCATATGTTTGCACGTGCTAAACTGAAGGGCTTAGGAACACCAGCGCAGCATTCCAACGGGTTTGCTGTGTTTTTGATCAGAAAGAGTTTAAATACTGGAAATATGCTAGCAGTTTGTTCCAAAGCTGGCTATTCATCAGTGTCGCTGTGGTCGGATGGCCACTTCCTGTTTCAAGTCCATTTAAAACAGAAACCATCAAAGGACGAAACAATAAAAATCAAGAAAACAATAACTGACAAATGATTTTTAAAAGTTTTTATAATTCTCTAAAGCTGGTTTAAAAGCTAAGAAGTAAACTTGAAGTTTTTTAAAGAGATTTTAAATCAACAACCAAGTTCTCAGAGACTCCTCCCACTGTGAGGGTTAGGGTTAACCCTAACCCCATCATCTACATGAAGGGTCAAACAGATAACTGATGTAACATCATTTAAAATCTGAGGTAAGACGTGAGGCCTGCAGAGCTTTAGATGTTCAGAACCCAGCATGATGTGTTGCTTGTTGAGATCTTTTAGCCTTCCTCATGTTAGCATACACGTTGGGTCGGTTTGGATGTCTTTGTTCCATTAGTTAAACATTTCTTACTCAGGTTATCACTGATGGTGACACTTGTTTGCTGATCTGAACAAAACGGGAACAGAGGAGAACTTTTTCAGCTCTAAGACTGAGCTTCGGGTTTCTGAAATTCAGTCAGCTCAGTGGCTCCAGCTTCAGCTTCTGACCCGCTTACATCACAGACATGATGGTTGTGGCAGCGTTGGGTTGTCATTTTGTCCCTCAGAACCACGTAGCTCTTGGGTTAATGGTCCACCACTGTTATGCTCTCACCTGCTTTGCTGTGAGGGTGAGAAGGACAAAGCGAGGGGTCCTGACGTGTGAGGAGGCCAGCGGACCCGTGACTCCGATCACACGGACAAGTCGGGACCACAGAAACAAAATAACAGGCTCAGAGTCAGGGCAGTTCTCATGGATCACTGGGTTTAGCTGATTAAACTCATCTAAGCAGCTGATCAGTTCACGAGTTTCATCCTGAAATGAGAAAAATAATTACAAGTTTTAATAGAATATTTGTTATTGATTTCACAGTGATCCCACTTGTTACAGCAGCACCAGCACTTAAGGGAAGAATTAGAAGAAAAATAATAACAAAGGTACATGTATTTATACACATAGGCAGTAAGCTAGTATTGTAACCTTCGACCGCTATAACCCATGAACAAAATGAAAAACGTGGGTTCCATAACTGTCCTGCATACTGTAAGGGACACACATACTATGCAAATCTAGTATTGCACACATATTGAATATTGTATTGATGTTATTGTGTATCAGGATAATGCCAGTACCAGTTAACTGAGGGGTTATACACTTACTGCAGAGGGGATGAATGTGTTTTACATCTGGAATGTCTCGGTCTGCCTCAGAAGGAGCTGTCCATGGTCTCCATAGTGGAATGCAGTGGGTGGGATGTTTTTTTTAATATGGAGGCCATCTTCCCCACCATCCTCCTTTCTCACATCTCAGCTGAATCCAGTGGACAGCTCAGAACTGAGCTAGCTTTGTTAACTAGCTTGTTCAGTCTCTTCTTGTCTCGGTCAGAGTTGCCTGCACCCCAACAGACTACAGCAGAGTGATAAAAGGATTTTAGCAGATGGGAAATAACACTGAAGGACCTCAGCCTCCTCAGGAGGTTATTCTGAGAAGTTTATAGAAAACTGGTCATCTTTTAGAAAAGAGGATCATAACAAACTTTATTAATAAACCATCTTTATGTTTGAGTTTTATGTTAAGTTTAAAGTTTTTGGACTCCAGATGTATGCAGTTGTCATGGCGACATGAGTGAGATTATTTAAGCCTCATACCGAGCTCTAATTGGTCCACCAGTTGTTCCCAGATAATGATGGATAAATTAGACCATTTTAACTAAAACAAAAAGGTTGTATTGATCGGAACATCAACAAATACAGGTCCTTCTCAAAAAAGTTGCATATTGTGATAAAGTTCATTATTGTCTATAATGATAAACATTAGACTTTCACATATATTAGATTCATTACACACAACTGAAGTAGTTCAAACCTTTTATTGTTTCTAATATTGATGATTTTGGCATACAGCCCATGAAAACCCAAAATTCCTATCTCAACAAATTAGCATATCTTGAAAAGGTTCTCAAAACGAGCTATTAACCCAATCATCTGAATCAACTAAGTAACTCTAAACACCTGCAAAAGATTCCTGAGACTTTTAAAAACTCCCAGCCTGGTTCATTACTCAAAAACCCAATCATGGGTAGGACTGCCGACCTGACTGCTGTCCAGAAGGCCATCATTGACACCCTCAAGCAAGAGGGTAAGACACAGAAAGAAATTTCAGAACGAATAGGCTGTTCCAAGAGTGCTGAGTCAAGACACCTCAGTGGGAAGTCTGTGGGAAGGAAAAAGTGTGGCAGAAAACGCTGCACAATGTGAAGAGGTGACCGGACCCTGAGGAAGATTGTGGAGAAGGACCGATTCCAGACCTTGGGGGACCTGCGGAAGCAGTGGACTGAGTCTGGAGTAGGAACATCCAGAGCCACCGTGTACAGGCGTGTACAGGAAATGGGCTACAGGTGCCGCATTCCCCAGGTCAAGCCACTTTTAAACCAGAAACAGCGGCAGAGGCACCTGACCTGGGCTACAGAGAAGCAGCACTGGACTGTTGCTCAGTGGTCCAAAGTACTTTTTTCAGATGAAAGCAAATTTTGCCTGTCATTCGGAAATCAAGGTGCCAGAGTCTGGAGGAAGACTGGGCAGAGGGAAATGCCAAAATGCCTGAAGTCCAGTGTCAAGTACCCACAGTCAGTGATGGTCTGGGGTGCCATGTCAGCTGCTGGTGGTGGTCCACTGTGTTTCATCAAGGGTGGGGTCAATGCAGCTAGCTATCAGGATATTTTGGAGCACTTCATGCTTCCATCTGCTGAAAAGCTTTATGGAGATGAATATTTCATTTTTCAGCACGACCTGGCACCTGCTCACAGTGCCAAAACCACTGGTAAATGGTTTACTGACCATGGTATTACTGTGCTCAATTGGCCTGCCAACTCTCCTGACCTGAACCCCAGAGAGAATCTGTGGGATATTGTGAAGAGAAAGTTGAGAGACGCAAGACCCAACACTCTGGATGAGCTTAAAGCCGCTATCAGAGCATCCTGGGCCTCAATAACACCTCAGCAGTGCCACAGGCTGATGGTCTCCATGCCACACCGCATTGAAGCAGTCATTTCTGCAAAAGGATTCCCGACCAAGTACTGAGTGCATAACTGAACATAATTATCTGAAGGTTGACTTTTTTTTGTATTTAAAACACTTTTCTTTTATTGGTTGGATGAAATATGCTAATTTTTTTAGATGAGAATTTTGACTTTTCATGAGCTGTGTGCCAAAATCATCAATATTAGAAACAATTAAAAGCTTGAACTACTTCAGTTGTGTGTAATGAATCTAATATATATGAAAGTCTAATGTTTATCAGTACATTACCGAAAATAATGAACTTTATCACAATATGCAATTTTTTTGAGAAGGACCTGTATTTAAACTTTTATAAAAATGAAACAATTTCATGGTGAGAGGTCAAAGCGCAGCCCAAAGACCCCCTTATGTTGATGAACATAAATGGAAACCGTGTTCCCTCACCTCCTTGTGAGTTTCCGAGGCCCCCCTCTGGAGGTGGGGTGCGCTAGTGTGAGCCTGGTGGCAGGGCTTTTACCTTTTACCCATGGAGCCCAGCAGGACACAGCACTGGATTTCTACACTGTAAAACCCAATAAGTTGATATAAATCAACGTTTTTTTTTAGTGAAGTAGATACTTTTTTCTGGGTATATTCTACTTCTTAGTTTATAGTAATGATCTATATCAAGTATAAACCTCTTGAAATTTTTAACTACCCTACACTGTTAACCCAGATAAATTGAATTTACTTTTAAAAAAAGCTATGTGGCAGGTAGGTGAAGGTGGAAGCTAGCACCACCACTGCATGCCCCACACACACCCACAGCTGCTGACAGCCTATGAGGAGTGGTTCACAGCCGAGTGTGAAGCAGCTGGGATGAAAATCAGCTCCTCTTAATCTGAGACCACGGTCTTGAGTCGGAAAAGGGTGGAACGCCTTCTCCCGGTCAGGGATGAGGTCCTTCCCCAAGTGGAGGGATTTAAATATCTCGGGGTCTTGTTCAAGAGTGAGGGAAA